GAGGAAATTTAGGAAAAATGATGTTGAGTTGTGGTTTAAGGAGGTTGTGGACTTGAAATGGTGTTGTATGGGCTTAGGAAGCCATAGTAACGTTGAAATAAAATTAACAACATAATATGCGTAAAATGGCCTTATGGCCGAAATGATGCTTTTGTGTGGGGGGAGTTCCTTGCGTTGTATTTCAACTTGATGCACAATTGAATTAATGATCCTATGTGTGATCGTTGTAGGTTGCCTCCTACGGACGTGATCCTTGAAAATTGAGCTCGGTGGAATGCCTTTGGTCCTTGACCAAAAGGATTTGGGTAAGTAATCGTGTAACATTACATGATTGAGTTTATAACCAATTAAGTGGTCTTTATGATGCTAATGTATATAGAAATGACCTATTGTGTAGGCATTTCTGGTTGGACAAAGTTACGGTATAACTTGCATTGAAGCTACCAAGCTTGGGAGATTCAAGAAGGTAATATCTTGGTACTAGGGTTAATCCTCGTGTGTGCTCCACATACCCATTGGGGTAGTGGTTGGAAGTTGTATCTCAATGATATGATTATAACATGCTTATGCATATGTATATATATATATATATATATATATATATATATATATATATATATATATATATATATATATTTGGTACTTAGGATGTTACAGACTTCCACTGGATAAGTCTCCGTAAGGGAGTTCCAGTTGGCCTAGGGCCGTAAAGATGTTATCCGTTGAGGAGCACTCTAGGAATGTCTCGAGTGTATCAGATGGAGGGTGCCATGAATGATGTTCTGGGAACACATTCTTGGATGAGAGCCCATAGGCTATATGCGGAGGCCAATAGGCCAGATGTTGCGTGGTTTTGGCTATGACCATTCCAGCATCATGGTATATTTCTCCTTTTACATCCCTGCTTCTCTAAATTCCTTGGTTTATCCCTTTTGTTATCATTCATTGTTGTACATTTACATCTGAGTGAGCCATTGGGCAGAGTGATCCTCTAGAACCTCTGGGTTACTGAGATATATTTGTATATCTCACCCTGAGTTATGGGGCATTATTTCAAGTGGTTGTAGCGGGACATGAGCTATGGGCAAGAGGCCCATTGGTTGAGCTTATGGAGTTGGAGAGCATTTTTGCATTTTGAGGCCACACTTGGCGTAGGCTAGACTTTGGCTAAGTCTAGTTGATTATGTATGATATGCCTCCAGCATATATATGATTTTAAGCAATAAAGAGAAATAAATCTTGATCAATCTTGGATAAAAGGGCTAGAATTGTTATTTAATTGATAAATCTCAATAAGAGATCGTGTAGCTGATTTCCTTATGATTTTGTGGGAAAATAGGACAAAAAGAAGCCCAAATTGGAAGCATAAACCTGGAGCCCCGCGCTATGGGCGTAGGTGTCACGCTGACAGCGCCAGAAGAACTTTTTCATCCAGAACCTCCACGCTGTTAGCGTAGAATTCGTGCTAGCAGCCCCAGACATTCAAGCCAACCACGCTGACAGCGTGGGAACCACGCTAGTAGCGTGAACTTCCAGTAACTTGAACAAAACTCCCACACTGATTCACGCTAGTAGCGTGGGAGGTACGAGAAAAATCAGTAACGTATCTCAGACTGAATACGAGAAGATTGGACCCAAGATACACGATGCAGATATAATCAAGATTTCTAAGCAAGGCACAAAGTCTATAAATAGAGACTCAGACTCTCAGAGAAAAACATCTTTGGCTGGAGCGACTTGTGAGGATCAGAGAATTGAGAGAATTCTTGGAGACTCGCGCTGCAGATCAAGATTCCACCGGAGTTGAAGACTGAAGACCATTGAGCTTCCTTCTTCTTCTTCTTTTCTTTTTCGTTTATGAACAATATTTATTTGAATTTGTTTAAGTCATACATGAATATGTCTGGCTAATTTGATTTTGTAGTTGGGATTATTGACTCAATGTGAATTCTTTATATTTCCTGTATTGTTTTTATAAGTTAATTAGTTAGTTAGTTTTATTTTGCCTGTGTTAATTTTTCCATATCCTGATTAGAACTGGCCATTCTAATTATAAGGCTTTGAGGGTTATGACTCATAATAGACATATTGGGGTTTTAATCTGGACAAGGGTAGAATAACAATTTGTGCATGACCTAGACATAGGCTTACATAGATTGCAGACTTATAATTAATTTGCTTAATGCTTAATTTAAGAGGAATTACTAGGACATTAGGATTCTTATTGGGTTAAAGGGTTGGAATCACTAAGACATTAGGGTTCAACTAATGTATAGGGAAATAATGAATTGTTTGAGCAAACCAATTAGTTAATTATAAAATACAATATAGGAATATAAGAGAATATCGGAGGTGAAGTGTATCCTGGCAACAATTTTTATTCTTGATTTTAAACTCAATTTTTATTCCAAATTACCTTTTTAATTAATTTTTTTTACTATCATCTTTATTTGATTTTTAATTAAATATTGGTTACTTGCGAAATTACTTTTGAATTGTCTAACTTAGATAAAAACGGCAAAACTATTGCTTGAATTTAGTCCTCGTAGGAACGATACTCTTACTTAATCACTTTATTACTTGTACGACCGGTATACTTGCCGTGTTCGCAACAAGTTTTTGGCGCCATTGTCGGGGAGGTTCAGTATCTCTTGTACGATCGGGAATGTTAAAATAGGGAGAGATCTATGTGATTTGGGAGCCAATGTCAACTTGATTCCCCTCTCTTTTGCACAATCTTTGGGGATTACGGAGATGAGATATACCTTGATGTCTCTCCAATTTGCTTATCGACCCATCAAGATGCCAGAAGGAGTGTTGGAAGATGTCCTCGTAAAGGTAAATGATTATATTTTTCCAGTTGATTTTGTTGTACTAAGTATGGAAGAAGATGATAATATGCCTCTCATCTTGGGGAGACCGTTCTTAGCAACTGCTAGGACATCAATGATGGTGAATTCAAAGTTAATGTGTTTGAATCCATGAAACATCCTAAAGATAGAGGGCATTGCTTCCAAATTGATGTAATAGAGGAAGCAGTGTTGGAAAATATTTTTGAGGAAGCAAATCCTTCTACCATTGACGATCAGTTTGCAAAATCCTACAGTCATTTGAAATATTGAATGATGATTTGCTTACTAAGGTAGTGAAAGCCATAGACTCAATTGATGTTTCAAGTGCACAAGAAGAATAGTCAGTTGAGCTGATTAGGAAACCGGAAGATAACTCTGTGGCTAGTCCCAAGTTGGAGTTGAAAGAACTTCATGCAAACTTGAAGTATGTGTTCTTGGGAGATAATGATACATATCCAGTGATTATCAATAAAAATTTCTCTTGAAGAAGAAACAAAGCCTGTGAATATGTTAAAGAAACATAAGTCTGTAATTGGCTAGTCATTCTCTAACTTGAGAGGAGTCAGACCTTCTTTTTGCACTCACAAGATTCTGATGACTGATGATGTAAAGCCAGTTCGTCAACCACAAAGGAGATTGAACCCAACCATGAAAGAAGTGGTTAGAAAGGAAGTAGTCAAACTTCTAGATGGTGGTATGATTTATCCTATTTTAGATAGTGCATGGGTGAGTCTAGTGCAAATAGTGTCAAAGAAAGGTGGAGTAACTGTAGTGCAAAATGAAAACAATGAGTTAATCCCAACAAGTACAATAACAGGATGAAGAATGTGCATCGATTACCGAAGGCTCAATGCAGCTACAAGGAAGGATCACTTCCTTCTTCTGTTCATGGATCAGATGCTTGAAAGATTAGCTGGGTATTCATATTATTGTTTCTTGGATGGTTACTCGGGATACAATCAGATTACAGTTGCACCAGAAGATCAAGAGAAAATTGCATTCACATGCCCATTTGGTATATTCGTGTATAGGAGAATGCCGTTCGGATTATGCAATGCTCCAGCCACATTTCAAAGGTGCATGCTCTCCATATTCTCCGATATGATAGAAAAATTCATTGAGGTATTCATGGATGATTTTTCTGTCTTTGGTGATTCTTTTGATTCATGTTTGGCTAACCTCTCTTGTGTTTGTAGTGTTGTCAAGAAACTAATTTAGTTTTAAATTGGGAGAAATGCCATTTTATGGTAAGGGATGGCATAGTTCTAGGACAACGTATTTCTGGAAAAGAAATTGAAGTGGATAAGGATAAGTTATTGATTATTGAAAAACTTCCCTCTCCCACTAATGTTAACAGTGTTCGTAGTTTTCTTGGACATGCAGGTTTTGACAGGAGGTTCATCAAAGATTTCTCCAAAATTGCCAAACCATTTAGTCAACTTTTGGTCAAAGATGCTGAATTCATATTTAATGATGCCTACCTAACTGCTTTTAATCTTTTGAAGGAGCAACTGACTATCGCACCTGTCTTAACGGCACCTGATTGGAACCTTCCGTTCGAGCTTATGTGCGACGCAAGCGCATATGCTGTTGGAGCAGTTCTCGGGCAGCGTAAGGATAAGTTGTTACATGTCATATACTATGCTAGTAAAGTTTTAAATGAGGCACAAGTTAATTATGCCACTACTAAAAAATAGATGCTAGCTGTAGTTTATGCATTAGACAAGTTTCGATCTTATCTGATTGGGTCCAAAGTTATTGTTTTTACTGACCATGCTGCCTTGAAGCATCTTTTGAATAAGAAGGATGCCAAGCCACGTTTGCTATGTTGGATGTTGTTATTTTAGGAATTTGAGTTAGAGATTCGGGACAAGAAAGGCGTGGAGAATATAGTAGCCGACCACTTATCCCGAATTCAAGTCAAGGAGCTACAAGATGGACCTGAAATAGAGATCCGGGATGCATTTCCTGATGAACAAGTAATGGGATTTATCTGCCTACCATGGTTTGCGGATTTTGCTAATTATAGAGCTGTAAGATCAATTCCCCAAGGACTTACTTGGCAGCAAACAAAGAAGTTTCTTTATGATGCAAGGAGATATTTGTGGGATGGCCCTTTTTCTTTACTTTGTTTGCACTGATGGAATGATGCGAAGATGTGTACCTGAAGAAGAGGTGAAAAACATATTATGGCATTGTCATGGTTTAGATTACAGAGGACACTTCGCTGGGAATCGTATTGCTCAGAAGGTCTTACAGAGTGGATTATATTGGCCCACTATATTTAAGGATGCTCGAATTTTCGTAGAGAGATGTAATAGATGCCAGAGGACTGGGAACATCTCAAGGAGGAATGATATGCCCTTGAATAGCATTCTAGAAGTAGAAATATTTGATGTGTGGGGCATAGATTTTTTGGGACCATTTCCCAGCTCCTACTTTAACCAGTACATCTTGGTGGTTGTAGACTACGTGTCAAGGTGGGTGGAAGTTGTGGCTCTTCCGACGAACGATGCTAAAGTAGTTGTCTCTTTCCTGCGAAAGAACATATTCACAAGATTTGGAGTTCCAAGAGCTATCATAAACTATGGAGGATCCCACTTCTGCAACTAGCAGTTTCAGAGTCTACTTGCTAAGTATGGAGTTAATCATAAGGTGGCGACACCTTATTATCCACAGACAAGTGGACAAGTTGAGATTTCAAATAGGGAGCTGAAGCAAATCTTAGAGAAAACTGTGTGAAATTTATGGAAGGACTGGTCAAAGAAGCTTGATGATGCGCTTTGGGCATACCGGACAGCCTACAAGACCCAATAGGTATGTCACTATTTTAACTGGTGTACGGTAAGTCTTGTCACCTTCTTGTAGAATTAGAACATAAGGCTATGTGAGCAACTAAATTCCTTAATTTTGATGTGAAAACTGCTAATGAGAAAAGACTTTTACAATTTAATAAGCTTAATGAGTTTAGGTTGTCTGCGTATGAGAATGCTAAAATTTACAAGGAGAAGACAAAGAGATGGCATGATAAGAAGATAGTTCCAAAGGAGTTTGAGCCCGGACAACAGGTATTATTGTACAATTCTCGACTGAGATTGTTTCCAAGTAAGCTAAAGTCTTGCTGGTCGGGACCATTTGTCATAAAACAAGTATTTCTTTATGGCACAGTAAAAATTTCTCCTATAGACACTGATAATCCTTTCAAAGTTAATGGTTGTAGGCTAAAATTGTACTATGGAGGACAGGTAAATAAGGACAAGGTTTATGTCCCTTTAACTTCACCGGAACCTTAAACTGTTTGCGTTAGGCTCGTGACGTTAAACAAGCGCTAACTGGGAGGAAACCCAGTATTAAATTTTAATCTTCTTTGTTTAATTTTATTAGGTTAATTTACAAGTAATTAATTGGTGAGGTGAAGACAATTGAAAAAATTGAAATATGGGAATTGGCGCTGATAGCGCTAGTAGCGCCACAATATGCAAAGAGACAGAAGCTCCACGCTCACAACGTGGAGTTGGCGCTGGCAGCGTCAAAAATCTCAAAATCAAGCTTACCGTGCTCAAAACGCGAACCTGGCACTCTCAGCGCCATAATTCAAAAATTCAGTGCCAGTTTGGCGCTCACAGCGCCATAATTCCACGAAAGACTCGCGTCAACAGTGTGAGATCCACGCTGTCAACGCCACTGAACCCATAAGTTCCAGTCGCTCCGCGCTGACAGCGTGAACTCCACGTTGTTAGCGCTAGTTTAAAATCAGAATTTAAAAATTAAGAACCCTAATTTCCTCCCATCTCACTCACTCACTATTTTCTCCCTCCCCTGCCGTCGACCCCCTCTCCCTCTCTTTCCCTCTCAATCTTCCACCTTCCCTTCTCTTCCACCATTCACCTCCACCACATCACAACCAGTCCTCTTAGAACAAACCAACAGCCCCATTATTTCCAATCACTGTGAGCCACCACCACTGAACCAACCCACCACCAAACTCATTCCCCTTCCAACCGAGCACCACCATACCACCACTGTGCCTCAATCTTTTTCCCATCAAAGACTTAACAGCCTTAGCCATCACCCTCCTCAACACTCTCTCCCCTAACCCATCATCTGCACCACCCCAAACAGTGAACCACTGCCAACCCGAAATCAGTCAGCATCAAACACTACCGGGGGTTCCCAAATTGTGGGTTTTTTCATTCAAGAGATTAGGATTTTCAATTTTTAAAGATTGAATTGCACACAATGGCTGGTGATAATGTACATATTCATGCTAATTGAGTTTCTGTTAGCTATAAATTATGATTATTTTAATGGCTTTGTTTTTACAATATTTGAGTCAAAGGCTGGATATAAGTGCATGGTAATGGGCCAAATGAGTACCAATCAGCCCAATAAGGTAAAAGAGAGAGAAAGAGATAATTTGATGATTTACTATTCTCTTTTACTATTTTTACTGCAGTTAGAGAGCCATATGATCAACTCTTTGAAAGTGAGATCAAATCTGAACCATTGGATGGACAAAAATATGGATGGACAACAATGCAATTTCTTGGAGCTCTTTAGTTTCTAGCTAAATAGGAGTCTGAGTCATTAGGGCCACGAGGAGAGAACTTTCGTTTTTTTTAGTTTTCAGTTTTACGTCTTGAATCTTTTGTAATCTTTTTCTTTGAATCTGAGTGTTGAGAAATTCCTTGAAAGCTGAATGCTTGTTCTTCAATTCTTGCACTCGAAGTGCATTGACAACGCACCTTCAAGGAAAGGAATCACGGATCTGCATGCGAGCTATTGTTTTCATACTTCTGCAAGTTTTCTTCATAGCTCTAGTTTAGGAACTTTGATTATTGAAGAACCGGTTTGTAAACTTTTACTTTGAGTTTTCTTTACTGAATATTGGTAATGCATGTTTCTTTACTTTTTAGATTTGCAATATTTCTGAATATGGGTTTCTAATTTCTTTTCTTTTCTGGGTTGTCAAAATGATTGGATGAATAATTTTTGATGTTCTTAGTTACAATTTCTTTATCTCATTCGTTTAATTCTTTCACTTTTAAAACTCGAGTAATTCATGGGAATGAAACTTGGGAAATTCAACAAAAATAAATTGGAAAATGCATTTTTGTTTAGTATTAAATGAACCTCTTGATTAGGGATAATCAAGGGTGATTTCTGATAAATCTTCTATAAAGTTTCAAGAAACTTTGGGAAAAGATCTTCTTGAACTTTAATGTTGATTCTGGAAAGTTTCAACTAAACTTGCCGTAGTACTTCAGAAATTGAGATAAACTTGCTGCAGCAATGTACGAAATTTGCAGAAATGCAAAAAGGTTTTGGTGTCGTCCATGATTTTTTGATATACCCAGAAGTCTTTTAATATTCATAAATCATTTTCTTACTTCTAGATTACATTTTGATAACTGTTACAGATTACAAAATTTTGTTGTTCTAAAACCAAATAAAGCTTCAATTCATGAAATTCTAAACTAGAAAAATAAAAAGAAAATTAATTCAACCCGTTTCCTGAGAACGATAACTCTTTCTTTTGAAAAATTACTTCCAACAGTTTCCTATGTAATATTTGGTTGATGTTCTAAATTTCCATGTTAAATTGAATGATACAAAGACTTGCTGTGAAGATGTGCCAACCATGAATTTTGCCAGAAGCACTAATGTTGTTAGCATGTCATCTCGAAGACTCAATCCAAATATGAGCAGATTCATTTTCCATCGTTCAGATTCTTATGCGATTTCATAATCACTCAAATTCAAAATAGCTATCAGCTAGGTCCCATGCCCACTTCCCATAGCTTATATATATTTAACGTGAAATTCTCATAAACTTTGTTTTTCCCCTTTTCTGTCCCGAATAGATCGAACAGAGAAGCATAATTTAAGTGTTTACATGCTCCCTTACCCCCCCAAAAAAACAATATAGGTGAAAATATTCATAAAGGTAAAATATTTTTAAAATATTATCTTTTCAATATTTAATGAAAAATATACCCAATGTTTAGTACTCTTCTAATCAATTTTATTAAAACCGAACCAGTCCTCGACTTGGACAGGGTATCTAGTTCGTGGACCTAAATTGAATTTATGTAAAAAGATATAATAAATATATAAATAGAGATAATATGACAAACAAAGTAATCACCTTCGGTGGTTAACATTTCACTTCCTTTCCCTTAGGTACCGAGTTTGAATTCTAAAAGTGCAATGGTGGATTATTTTGTCATAATTTTAAGAAAACAGCTCAACAAGAAAACTGGATCGATTAGTTGTCCCATTTCCAATTCAACTCGTCCGAGGATTGGGCCGATTTTAATACCACTGCTCATAACATCAAAAATATTTATTCTATGTTGAGCATATATTAACCAAGAAAATGATTTACGCAATCTTCTTTTCTTAAAGGATGGTGATTCTTTTGTCAGCCACAAAGTGATTCCGTATCGAATTTGATTTAAGTTGAGATTATAAACCAAAACATGGATAACTTAAAGAGTTCAAGTCGCCGAATCAACGAAAATGGTTGACTCCAAAATCGAATGAAACCGCGTTCGTTAGAGAAGTGACAATAATGAATATGAAAAAGGCAGGTGGGGCAGGCACTATATATAGTCTACGTGTTGTTTGAGTTTAATGTTTTAACTAAACATTTCAAGCATAGAGTTCCTTCATCAGCCCCCATCAGGTTGTCCACTGTCCCAACCACTACCAACATTTGGAATAATATTATTGCCGGGAAGATTTTCATATATTTTTCTTATGTATGGCTGCAGGGTCAACATTCTAAACTAATGGATTTGTACTAATAACTAGTTAATCTATTAACTAATTAAAGGCTCATTACTCGGATACCAAGAAAAAAAAAAAGCTCATTACTGATAATGAGATCTGGATCCTCTCATATGAAAAAAAAAACATGACATGATCATGTGGAGAATCATAATCATACAAAGGTGGATTAATGGTAATAAAGGAAGAGAGAAACAAAAATTATAATAAGTAGTTACGAAATCATAACCGTTGATTTACCTTTCTATGATTGTGATATTCCCACATGACCATGTCCTGTTTTTTTCTACATGTGAAGATCTATTTTCCTCATTATGACATGTTTCAACAGCATGTACATCAAAGAGAAATAAATAATGAATGGATTATCGGTACATGTCACCAAAAATGAAATAAAGAGCTAATGCCTCACAAATGACATTTATCATGCTCTTATATATATGTATTGAGATTCAAACCTATAACATCATTATGTAAATAATCCAAACTTCTCATAATCAATCTTAATGATTTTATTTATTATAGCATATTGTAATATTGTGGGTCTTTATACAAAATTTTTGCTTTGTTTACCCTTTTTTTGTTTGATATAAATTAAAACCACTATTAAGGTTTCAATTAAGCTCCCTCTATTTTTGTTTGATTAAGTGTTAAGAGTTAAATCATTGCCACTCTCATGTTAGTTTGTGTAATATATCATGTTCATAAATCATAAAATAGAAAAGGATAAAGGGATCTTTGTAATACATGATTTTCACATACATATAAGAGATAAAGACATACCCGAAAATAATGATGAAGGATTAACAACAGTCATCATC